AAATATTTTATTATATTTATTAAAGCGCCATCTGTCATGTTAAGTGTGAAGTACAATTACAGTACAGAACGAATGTCACGGTTTGAACGTCATTACGTTCCATTCTCATTTTAGTTTTCGTTCAAAGAAACAACGTCAGATGGCGTTGAACTTCAAATAAAAATAGTTTTTTTTTGTTTACCAAGTATTACCATTTTAAAAATCAAAAACAGGATTTGAGTTGGTTTTTTAATACTAAATTTTTTAAACAATATTTAAAACACAAAAATCTGAATGTTAACAATTTGTGTCATTGTAGATTGTCGATAATCCAAAAATTTAAATACAAAATAACAATTTTTTTTTCAAAATATTTTAAAAGGTATTATTCCATCGTTAATCACTTAAATCTCGCATCTCAAGAAGAGTAATGTTATTTATTAAATCAACAACTAATATCTTCGAGCGAGCATTTTTCAAATACCATAATCTTATCGTCAAAACAATGTCATACACGGTCCGTGAGACGCTGGATGAAAAATGATTTGCGACCACAAACACACCTTAATGTAAGCTATCTCGCGATCTGAGCCACAATCGGATGGACAGCCCAACATTAATAATATTAGTCATTGTTTAGTTTGATATACATCGCAAGTAGCTTGGTGTTCCTATTTCGAATTCAAAGGAGTATATTTGAAATCGTAACGAATAACTTGGATAACTTCTGGCCATATTTAATTTGAAATTTTGAAAATTAAATATGGCAGGTTTAATAATAATGGTAATTGTTTTCTGATAAACGTTATTAGAAATGACGTTAAGGTCTTACTTAGAATAATTTACGTATAAAGATAAATTCCATTTGGAGTTCTATACTTGAACAACTTTCTAACAAGTATTTAGATGTATTTTATCTATATTATTGTACTAACTAGCTAGTTAGGTATAATAAGATCGTTCGGGAGCCAACACCGAGCTTCTTGGAGTGTGGCGAAAATGATGACATGGTACCGCGTTGGAGGAGTGTCCGCGGTGGTCTCAGCCCCGTCATAATCTTTGTCCCTTGGTGGCTAACAATTTCTATATTTTCTGCACTGCTGAAACAATGGTCGGCAGTGACGAGATATGGGATGCAGTCTTATCATTCAGGGAGTAAGTAATTCTGCAGAAGGAGGCAGCAGAACGATAGAGAGAGCGCTCTAGGACGAATCCTTGGGTTAGAAGGCGCGGAGTAAACAGGAGAAGGTATGCTCATCTCCTACCCTCTATGTAGTGCGTACTCCAACGGAGGTTTTGAGTATAACAAGTATGCCGATTAGGTCCTGGAAGAACGATAGGAACCTCGGAGCCTCTCTAACACGGCCTAGTAGAAACTGCCCCTGGAGGTTTTAGTGGGTATTGCTCACCCAGGCAGTCTGAAAAGCAGAGATTATGGTGTGGGTCGAGTCCCACATACCCCTGCAACTTTCGGGGCAGGGGATTCGCAAATGCATTTCCACCTCGGATATTTAAAAAAAAGGTATAATAAGTACTACTAGCTATAGGTGAGTCAATAGTCCTTGGTTCCTATGTTTAGTGTAGATATCCCGGTTTCACAACTTTTAGTAAAAGACAATTATCAAATCAATTCATCTCTCACCAAAAATATTTTCAGAAAAACACTTTCCCGGGATGATTGATAGAATCAGCCGATACGCACTCCCGACCTACAAACTAAACCTTCACATTTCCAAATCCTTTGTTGGCACGTACCCTGGCGCCCCCGGCTTCGCCTGTCATGTCATTGGTTTGTTCATTTATCATCACTCAAATACGGGCTCCAAATCTAACGGCGTCAAACTGGCGGTTGCAGCACGGTAGGAGAAATTCAAATTGTTTTTAAAAGCAATGACAGTCTTAGTCAGAAGTTTTATAAGTTACTTAATGTTTAAACAAAAGTTACTTAGACTTAGCGAAGGCTTCGCTTCGTTGCGCTGATCAGTGGCGCTGATTTATTTATTTAACAAGAACGAAGGTTCAGGTTGTAGATTGAGATCAAACTCTTTAGGTCTTGGCCTCAGATTTCTGAATCTGTTTCATGATCATTTTTAAATCTAATAGGCAAGTAGGTGATCAGCCTCCAGTGCCTGACACACGCCGTCGACTTTTTGGGTGTAAGACATGTCGGTTTCCTCACGATGTTTTCCTTCACCGTTCGAGCAAATGTTAAATGAGCACATAGAAAGAACTTCCATTGGTGCACAGCCGGGGATCGAACCTACGACCTCAGGTATGAGAGTCGCACGCTGAAGCCACAAGGCCAACACTGCTTCGTTCTTGTTGCTCAGTGTAATTCGGGTTTGAACTTATGATCTCTGTGGGTTACGCTTTTAAAAGAGACAAAACATAATTCTCAATTTTGATCCATACCCAAAGAAACTATTCCTAAGCTCAGGCATTTCTGGGAATGTTTATTTTCATAGCAGTGACTTAACTTACAAGAAGCTAAGAACACGTACTGCCTTAAAATAATAAATAAATAAATAATTTATAAAGTTTGTGATTATGATGTATAATATTTTTTTAAGACAAGTCAGTTATGCCGGTTTCCTCATGACGTGATTGCGTACCTACTTAAATACTGTATGGATGTTTTTTATTTCATCAATTATATAAATACTATATTAAAATATATTATATTCATATAAATCACATATATCATATATATCTGCTATTTTGTAAGAGCTTCGATCTATCTCAAAAAAAAAATTTGTCATATGTCATCTATGTATGTGGGCCTAGAAGTTGACCTTCATATACGCAAAAACATCTGTCTTTTTCAAGACTTCTCAAGTAGGATCGATACTTAATTTAATTTCAATATAAATATTGATGTATAAGTAAGTTATTCTTAGGTTAAAAGCTAAAGTTAAAAGTTATGTCATAGTATCTGCCCGGTCTATAAAAAAACATAATTTTCTGCATAATTTATTTTTTCATTTTCACCAATTTTCAAAAATTACAATTTATTCATACAATACAATAATTTAAATGATCATGTAGCATTAGAGATTTCATTTAAATTGGAATGAACAATACTTACAACTTTATTAATTACAAAATTAACATAAGTAAATAATTTTTTACAATATTTAAAAATGGGGAATAGGCCACTTCCTATTGCACATAAAAATATACAGAGAATTATTATTAAAAGAGTTTTAAAATGTATTACGTAAAACTTAATTCTTTTTATATTTACAAACAATAAATAAACCAACAAATCAATCAAGGATAGGTAATTTGAAAATAATTATGATTTTACATCCAACTAAACGAACACATTCCACTTTTAAAATAGATAAATTAAAAAGTACATATGTGTTTATCTCTGTTCAAAAAATACCTAAGCAACGCCAAAAAATAACTGAAAGGTTAAACTTAATAATAAACAAAATATGGATGGTTAAACAACTGTGTGATTTTTATCTTACGAATAAATTTAACAAAATATCACAGTTGACCACGACATTTCTATAGAGGAATAAAAAGTTAAGTAAATCAAAGAATAGTATTAAGTATTAAGTACATTATACAGTATTTTTGGGTTTCCATTGAGACAATTTTACGTGATTACGTATTAAACGACGTTTATTCTAATAAAAAATAATTTGTCCAATATCAAAAGTATCTTAACAAAGTATTTTTCGATTTATGAGAAAATTGCTTTTAATAAAACGTACGATACATATTGTGAGCCCAAAACCATTTATGAAATGATTGCCACTTTATGAAAAAGTACGATTTTATAAAATGATCCACTCAGTGATCAGAAGACATACATATGACCTTTATGCGATATGGAATCAAATATCTACGTGTTTCACTGTTTTTTTAGACAAGTGCCTTGAACCCGGCAAAAATATTGTGTCCCCCGAACAATTCACGACCTGTATCCCGAAGCTTTGATGATACTAACATTTTTAATATTACCAATTGGTTAAAGTTTGAAATATTGCGCTAACGCAAGTTACGCGCCGATACCAAAAGACCATGTATGGAAAAGAACAATGTATTGAAATTTTGTAACCTAATTATAGCCAATTAATACGTAAATTATACACCAATTACTCGATTGTAACGCTATATATATTGTCTCTATAGAAACCCTTACATTCTAGATGTGAAGAAATTAGGTAATTATATTATCGTTGGTTGAGACTTTTACTTTACATTAATTTATCTATTACGTATAACTAAGTAATGACGTAAAACTATTTGTATTAAGACCTTACAATTATTTGTTATTTACACTAGAGACAGGAACATAAAATAGTTCTTTAAAAGTAGGTACTACATTGAATATATTAAATTTCCAAAATACCTACATAATATGTTATTTACAGTAGAAATTAATCTAGATATTCACAAGTAATCTGAGCTTAGAAAGTAGAAAGTCAATAGCTTTTTTAAAATTCGCAACTATTCGCATAAACCTAATAAAACAATTTTTGAGATTTCCATTTTTCGATTTCCCTGTACAATTCCGAATTTGTTGGAAAAGCGATGGCTTATCTACATTCGCCTATTAAATTGAATTAGTATTGAAATTATTTGCATATAACTCTACTTACAATATAGACATAGCCATCATATACACAGTATAGTATTTCTAATTATCTGTAACATTTCTTACGTATAACATTATGCAGATCGAGCAATCATTTCTGACTAGTTAATATTATTTTACTAGTGTGGGTAATTTTAAAACGTTGCACACTTTGCAATTGCTGCACTTTTCACGACTTAAATTTTTGAAATTCCTCGCATAGACTCACTAGGCGTTATATTTGAACTGACGACTTCATTTATCACTTGTCCATAGTCACTGACACTTCGAAATTTTTCGAGCAGCGGATATCTGATTCAGTCTAGTTGCTGTAGTATCTGTCCTGACAATACTACATGCAACTCCGTTGACACGGCCGACTGCATATCTAGTAAATCAGTTATCCACTATTCGAAAAATTCCACTGATCCTATGCGGATAGATGGGCAAATTGGCTCGGGTGAAGGTCGAACTGGTAGGGGTGGCCATACGGGTTCATATGGTAAGGAACGATATTCATTGACGCCATCTTGTGTTCCTTCTTCCACTTCATGCGCCGGTTCTGGAACCAGATCTTGATCTGCCTCTCGGTGAGACAGAGGGCGTGGGCGATCTCGATCCGTCGTCTCCTCGTCAGGTACCGGTTGAAGTGAAACTCCTTTTCCAATTCAAGCGTTTGGTATCGCGTGTAGGACGTTCTCTGTCGCTTTGTCTCCCCGTTCGCGTTCACGGTACCTGGAATTAGAATAAAAATATATGAAATACACGTCAACCGTCATGTATTATGAATTACCCTGATCGGAATACTAGATACGTTGATATTAAGGGCTGAATGTCCGTTTTAGCGGCTATGAATAGTTGGCTCGATCGAGTTCGTGCCACGCTTGCTCGATTGTGATGTACAGCTTGCGGCAATGTGCACGATTCTGAACAAGATTTCTGTTAAGCGCTTATAAAGCACCGCACAATTTATAATAAATTAGAATTTATTAAAGTAAAATCAAAAACATCAGAAGTCTAATATTATCATATCATGCACAAAATATCATTCATTTGATTGTATCAGATTGTAATATTGTCTTAATAATAACCATTTAAACCTTCAGAATCTTTCAATAATGTGTCTTTGATTTCCTAATTTATTTATTATGTTTTTGTCAGCAAGTTGAAAGTGCATAGGATATTAAAGAACGTAGTGTGAATCGTGTGCATCGTGGGTTGAATGCCGCACCTGTCACACCACGTCTCGGCGCAGCCCACCGAGCGCTTGGACGGCCGCCAGTCCATGATCGATATGCGACCTGTCTTCCAAATTAAACCGAATCATTTGTTACATTTCTTTAACCACTTTAATTAATCGTTTGCCAAATTTTCAACAATTAACCCCATCTTGATTGTAACTCATGTCTGCGAAATGAGGTGATAAAAAGACGAAAATATACGAATATGTCCTCATATTTTTATATAAATCTCTTATTTAACTGAGTTCTACAGGATTAGGACGCCACCACAATCATATCCATTCAGGTTGTAAATGACTGAAATCTTTCAATAAAGCATGGGAAAACAACGTATACTGTTTCGTCTAGAAACGAACCCGAAAATGCGGGTTCTACACGAAATGCGATAGCCTATGACGATTAAACGTTTGTTATTTTAATGAGTTAACGAGGCGCATATATTGATTTATTGGCATCGCTAACAAGGAATTGATTACAATATAATTATCTAGGAACAGGCGTAGAAACCTCTTACATACTATTATTAATTCATAACAGATCTTTGTGTATGAGTTGAAAGACAAACTTTAAATGTCCGCCATCTTATAATACAATTGAAATTAATAAATTGAAATACAGCAGAAGCGTACCCTTATAGCGAGACGTCAAGTTTGCGTCGATAAAGATGTTTTAAAACTATAAATATTCGATGTCCCTCGAGTACTAGGAGTGAAAAAACTTTATGATTGAAATGTTAGTGACAGCTCGATGCACAGACAATTTTAATACACTCGCTAAGAATACAATGGTAGTTTAAGTTATATGAAATTCAATCATTCAAGATTATGGTGATGAAAAGCTTACAATGGCTTAATTTGAATTGTTTAAGGAAGTGCAGATGAATAGGAAAATCGGCGAACAGGTAAATGTGATATATCATTGGAGACAAGCGATTACATTATGCCATACATCATTTGAATTATTGACTATTGATTCGTGTTAGGCGTTTTACAGATTTTTATTTGCCTTGACGGATATTAAACCTTGCAATTGCGCGGAAACGGAAAATTTTAATACAACAGGACCCAACTTTGCACGGATGGAAATTTATTGTGTAAAATATTTTGGAAATAAATATAGTATTCTAGTCAATTCATTCCAGTATTTTTAATTTATTCGATACAAACGTACCTACAACTATGTTCTTTTTATATTTCTACTAGCGGCTAATCCGATTTCTCATGGCTAGAATTCCAAAATTTATTTTGACTCTTCTGCTTAGTAACATAGGCTTTATTTATACGATAATGAAGTATTCTAATGCTTCTATATATTTAAATCGATCTAGTGGATTTAGTTTATTCGCTAATAACATACAAAAATCCAAATCTTTCCCCTAAACAATAAGAGTATAGGTTAATATTTTACTATGAATTATAGGTTAGGATTTATAAGGCAATAATCAGCATCTTAAGGTATGAATGTATGTCAAAAGCGTATTGGATCGATTAAAATTTGATGCTTGATAGTTAATTATTGGTAGGGTTGATCGATCTTTAAACTAAGACCAATATAATAATACAAAATGAAGTAATAATTATCGACTACTTTGTGGCTAGTATTTCTTAAATGTTATTGGAATTTTAAAGTCTGAAAACTATTGTTAAATCATTTCTTTCAAAATGATTTCTTTATTGACTACGTTGTGACTTACGCGTTTAATACAGCCTGGATATATTTTTATTACATCCATAATTATATATTTATATAAAAAATAGGTCATGTTTAATTCATAAACATTAAACTTAAAATAGAAAATTTATTTTCAACCTGCAAAGAGTCTTCAAACATCACAACATTAAAAATTAGATTTCTCATCTCATCTCATTTCTCATATATAAAAATAATAAGGTATATTACAAAATAATATACCTATAGCAAATATATTCTAAAATATTACAGGTTTTTCCAGTGTAAAGAGCCTAAAAGGAAACGTTATTTTTCTATCATAAGTAATTCTAGGTCACCGGCAATTTATATTCTGTCTGGGTCTAGACATATTGCATGGTCGAATTTTAAATGAATGACGTCCTATTTGCTATGGATGAGACCAAAATTTGAAAACTAAAACAGCTAGTGTCTGGAGATGATCTTGGTTTTTCATGCATAGATATTAGGCTGCCTAGATCTTATACTGGGGATTTATTTTTAAACTATTAAACTTCAAATCATTTTATAACAGAGATTCTTAGCTTTTAATTAGCTTATTGGAAAATTAAGCAGACACCTTCATCACTCTTTATCTAATTAAAAGCTGAATGAATTCTTGGGAGCGAACTAAAAGCTCCGGCTAATATGTAAGTTTTTAAACAAATGGCAATAGAAGATATATCCCCCTATATATTGGGTCTAGGCCTCAGAATTCTGAATCTGTTTCTAATAGTCAAGTAGGTGAACACGCCGTCGACTTTTTGGGTCTAAGGCAAGCCGGTTTCCTCACGATGTTTTTCTTCACCTTTCGAGTCACAGCCTGGGATCGAACCTACGACCTCAGGAATTAGAGTCGCACGCTGAAGCCACCATCATATTTTTTAACATCTTTTATATTTTTAAAGAAAAATATCTAATTAATCATTATAAAATACTAATAAGAAAGAAGCAGAAATTTCTCGGCTGTGGTTTACAGAAAACCAAGAATAACATTAAAATGTATTTATAAGCAGTGTTGGTTTTAGCATGCGACAGCGCTGATGGCAATGCACCATTATGTTATGTATTATAATGAACTTTTCTTCATAAGTCCGCATTTTACGCTAGTAAAATGAAGAAAATAATCGTGAGGGAAGTGGCATAAACCCAAAAATCAACGACGTGTCCGTTACAGAAGGCTGATTCTAATGAGGCAAAAAATACTCTAGAAACAAATGCAGTCTGAGGCCTTGAACAAGGTCTTAGAGTCAGCGGAAGGGAATGAGGATTGAGGCCACTTTAACCACTTCAGCATGGGGTATGGGCACCTTTGGGTTTTAGTGGGTTGGTCACACCGGCTGAATTCCACATCGCCATAAGTAGTCGCGCAAAGGGGTATGCATTACGGCATTTACCAACGTCAAAACAAGAGCTGTAGAGAACTGTTTTTTTATTATGTATTAGTATTAGTATGTCCTATCTACTATGTAGGTACTATGTATACTATCTTTTTCTATTTTATATCTTAAACATAATAATTAAACTAAAGGCTCAATTTCATTAAGTCACAGATTGGGAGCAACCTTTAGATATTAAGAACAATTCGAATTTCTTCAATCACTGCCCTGTATATATGAGAATGATTTATAGTTTTTTAAGGCTATAAAAATAAATAGTTATTAAGGAAAACGTATCTACGCAACCCAAGTTTTAGCACTCAGGTATCAGGAGCTCCATATACAAAGTAAGATTGTTAGCGAAATAAATAATACTTTTGCGTATACAGTTTAAAATTCCATTCATCGTCTATCTATCAACTGTGGTACAAAATAAAATCTCTAAATATGCCAACATAAAAATGTTTAGCGATAAAACATCAAAGAGCATGACTAATGATATCAAGATCAAAATAAATATGTGTAATAAATGTGTCGTGTATATTTTTTACACTCATTGCCTATGGAACTTTACGAGAGCTTAATATTTTATAGCTAATTCAAAAACTATTTTCCACAGCTGTATAGTTCTTAAATTAAGGTTATATGTTATAACAAATAAATATTTAAAAAAATACCTTTATACCGTTAAAGGTCTGTTTCATAATGTATGGATAAAGTACCAAATAGCTATGCAACACATAAATTATTTGGAAGATAAATTGTGCTATTTGACATTCATCGGACTCTTAACTTATGATGGACTTTATGTGACGAATAGCGCTATCAGACAGTCGTGAAACGCAACAATTGTGTTTATCCTACCAATAAGTAATAAATAGCTAATTTGGAACTTATGTAGAATTATCCGTACAATGTGAAACAGACCCTAAATCTAATTTTATTCAAAACTTGAATCCACGATTGGGTACATATCGATTTGTAATAAAAACTAGAAATAACAAAACAAAACCATTTAACCTCGCTATTTGAAATAAATAAGAAATAATGGAATTATAAGTTAAATGATTATAAACATGGACCTTCAGACCTTATATGGAATTCAAGCGTAAATACTGTAATTGGTAATGCACTTACGAAAGATAAGCGCAAATAAGATTAAGAGATAATATCAATCAATATAATGTATATTTATAGATTTATACAAATACATAGTATGCTAATTTAAGTAATTTATTGGTCAAATGTAAATCGTAATCCTTAGTTATTTTTGCGTTAAAAAGCCTATTTTTAAAGTATAATTGCATCTTTTCATAAAAATTAATTCGAATTTATTGCATTAATATCCGTAACTCTAGTCTTAGAGGTCCTACTAAATAGGTATATTTAAAAGCAAACTATTGTTTCTCAAACTTCTAGTTAATAAATAAATCAGTGGCGCTACAACCTCTTTAGGTATCGGCCTCAGATTTCTGAATCTGTTTCATGATAATTTTTCAATCTAATAGGCAAGTAGGAGACCAGCCTCCTGTGCCTGACATACGCCATCGATTTTTTTAGTCTAGGACATGTCAGTTTCCTCACGATGTTTTCCTTCACACATAGAAAGAAAGTCCATTGGTGCACAGCCGGGGATCGAACCGTCGAACTCAGGGATGAGAGTCGTACGCTGGAGCCACTAGGCCAACACTGCTCTTAGGTAGTTCTATAGGTACGTAGTTAACAAAACAAAAATCATCCAAAGTACGTTGTTACTAACGCCATCCCGTCGTCATTTGCTATTATAAGTACCTCAGTGCATACTCAAATAGAGGATCACAGAATAAAAACACATAAATCATTGCCACTCAATTCAAATCTAGACTTTACGTGTAAAGGCTAGATAGATGTCATTTATTCTAAAAACTTGAAGGCTATAGTCGGAATATGATTTTTACAAGGTTTTGCTGTTTTGATATTTTTCCTTGTTATTGTGAATTTAAATCAGTTTTTCACGTTTGTGAATTTTGTTTTTTTTAACGATAGACATACCTACATAGTTTCTGTGTTACAGATTGTTCTATTAGATATAACCGAAAACAACCGAACAAAAATCCGAAACTGCTCCTTATTTTGGTTAGGTCAAAACGATACCAAATGGCTGAAGAGTAATATGATTTTTTTAATAATAGGCTATTGATACGCTACAGCCAAAGATCACAGCAGCATTCACATCATCCGAATATCCGTTGCGTAGGCAGCCTTAGAGACAAAATACGATCTAATTTGAAAACCTCTTGTACCTTGAGACCTTAAGATATTGAAAGTTCAGTAAAGTTTTATAAAAGATTCCATTAATAGTTTGCATATCAGTAGTAATAGCATGACATGATAAATTTTATATGATATAAATATATGCAAAGCAAGAAGCTCACTGAGAAATAAAACAGGATATCAAAGGCGGATTTTGCGTTAATTTTATTGCCGTTAAGGGGTAATTATTTTAACATGTCGCTTGCCTATCACGAGTCTACTTAAGATACCTGCGCGTGATTCTGTTTCGAGGCCTTTTATTTTTAAGGCCACTATCTCGCAGACTATCGCGGTAATGTGTTAAACTGTCTCGCGGTGCTTCTTTACAAAAGTTTTGAATTACTTACAGTTCTTTTTCTGATTGAATCTCGGGTCGGTCTCCGTGGAACATATATACCTACTTTGCAACGCTAACAGTGTATTAAAATAATAGTCATTACAAATATATATTTGCCAGAAGATTCCTTTAAGGCAATAAATAGGATAGTGCGATATATATAGTAGGAAACAAATGACGGAAAAAAACAAAATCTAAAGTTAAAAAAAATAGTAGTTACCAGATATATACAATTTTTACAACATGATTTGCTCTTATGATAAGTATATTTGGTTCTTCATGCAAGTTCTTATAATTACTAACCAGTTACGTCGGCTGCGAGTTTGTAAACATCGTCCAGGTAAGATAACTTTTAGCTTGAGACTGCCGAACATCGCCCAACAACTTTTTCTAAGCGCATCGCCATGAATACTACATATAACTTTATTTTCAATTCTTTTTTTGCAATCCATAACACGAAATGCACTAAAGTAATTACAAAGAGTCAAGATTTCACAAAACGCAGAAAAAATTACCGGATCACTAGTGTAAGTGTTGCCAGGAAAAATAGATTCTTTTAATGCAGATAGAACATAGAGATACTTAATTTCTACTCTTTTATGTCGCAACTTACTAAGAGTGTTACCGAAAAAGAAGAGAAGAAATGTCTATCACAAAATTTTTTATTACTTTTTGGCTATAAAAAATTTGTAATCTTAGTACTTAAACCCAAATTAGGAACGTAATAAGATGTCAACTCTTTGTGAAATGTAGGTACTTAAATTAACAGCTATATCATTACATGACTCAAAACTCACGGATTGGTAGAAGCAACAATGACGCAGCATGAAGACAGAATGACAATTAACGCACTAAAAGGTACGTCATAGAGACTGGTGCGACGCCATCTTTTATATAGAAGCGTTTTGGCGGGTTATTTAAATTATAATATTTAAATTCAATACTTAACGTCACAAATAAATTATCTGGTTTTTAAAATCTTGTCCAATTCTTGTCTTGTCCATTTAAAATAAGTATTATTGTTTCTTACTTTTGATTATTAAGTAGTCTGTAGATTAATATACTATCCTAACTATTCACCGATGAAGTTGCCGGCATCGCGTACTAAATAAACAAATGAATCTAAAACAACAATGCTTGCAATATACTGAGTCATATCAATTAATCATTTCGTCTTACTATCCCATACTGACAACATCCTCTTAACACGGTGCATGCGTGTTTTAAATTATGTCATCAGCCAACCGTTCGTGTGTAGTTACGTCAAATGTCAAATTGTAAACTGCGTTTTGGCGCATTGCCTTCGAACTGTCAGAAATAACGCTTTAAATGTGCGACTGGATAAAAGAATATTAATCGACTATAACTGTCTTGTTTTGTGGAAACTATAATCATTATGTTGCATAATATCATAGGTGAGTTTCATTAAATTGGACGTAAAATATAATTTTACCTCCGCCCATAGACATTCACAATGCTAGACGGCTTAGTGAATTTTTATATTTATTGTGAACTTTACCAGCTTTTTAAGAATCTGTATGCTTGTTTCTTCAAGGACTGTTAGTTGTATTGGTTGGGAGGTACCTTGTACTTCAGCTGGTTCCACATATGAGTAAAGCATATTTGCAAGTAGACAAAATACCTAAAGTGCTTTTGGGGATAGTTGCAAAAAAAGGCCGGACTTAAAATATTTTTAGCAAGATTAAGTGTAGGTGACCAAAATCTAGTCATTTCAGACATTTTGCTTACAGAAAAACCTCCCCCCTCCCATACGCTCTTACAGCTTTCAGGCGTGTGGTTTTACGTTTACTTACAGGTTTAGGGAACCTACAGTTTTGGTTTTTTTACTTTAGGGGACATTTTTTAAAAAAAAAAAAAAAAAAAAAAAAAAAGCCCCGGGATTTTTAGGAATAAAACAAAATTAAAAAATAATCTTACATCTTGAATTAATTAAAAGTTCCCAAAATTCATAAATTCTGCATAACCAGTGGCACTAAAACCTTCTGTAAGGTGATTAATTGCATATTTCCGCGGGTACATTTTTCTTCCTTAGTTAGGTTAGCATGTTGCTGACTAAAACACGTTAGTGACTTTGTAAAAAGTTTGCATTGCAAATGTCAGTTAAAAAAAAAAAAATTTTTAAAAAATGGTAGCAATATCATGGATAGGTCAGACACTATTAATTTTTCCGAAATTAATAAGTTTTTGGCTCTGGTGAACAATTGCAATATGTCACTTACAGATATGTGCCCCCCCCCCGGCGAGAGGGGGGGGGGGGGGGGGGGGGGGGAAAAGGGGGGGGGGGGGGGGGGGGGGGGGGGGGGGGGGGGGGAAAAAAAAAAAAAAAAAAAAAAAACGGGGGGAACAAAACCCGGGGGGGGGGGCTGCCGGCGGGGGCCGACAAACACCGTTGTCTTTTTTTGGTTGCCGGTTTCCTCGCGATAGTATAAGATCCCGATATACAACGACCTTCACCGAGATGCTTATTTAATGAAACGTATTTTATATTTAATTTAATATGTCAATAAATATAATCCATATGGGTTGCCTAGCAAATTTCAGTCCAGAGTATGTTTAATTAATATTTAAAAAAAAATATTTTCACTGTAAGAGTCGAGTGTTGAATACGCACATTGACTGAAAGAGCGGGGACCGAACCTAAGACCTCGGGGATGAGAGTCACTCTAAAATCGCTAACGCAACTCTCTGCTAACTAAATTCAATATAAATACTTGATTAGTAAATAACGAAATTGAAACCTTTAATTAATATCGGATCTTAAATGATTGTTACTATTAATATACAAATCTAATCTCAATATAAAAGGGCACCGCGATTGGTCCAAAGGCTCTCAGATACTGAATATATCTCGAATCAACGACGTAGAATTATTAAGAACGCTAATATCTTGTACACATTTACATAACACGCAATAAATCTATGCGCGGGAGTCGGCGCCGTTGATAAATTCTTATTACAACTTTTTGATCATCTATTTCTGCGACGCCATCTAAAATTGTAAGCGGTTTTGTTAGCGTTGACATGTACTATACGGCTGTACGCTACCTGGAACTATGAATACGCGTAGAATAAAATAGAAGGGATCTGTGGAAAACTTTTACTAAACTACTTCTACTTAATTAAGCAATGTAGGTTTTACGCTTACTTAATTAATACTTGGGGACTTAACCAGTTGGCTCTAAAGAGTTTCCTGTCCTTGATGTCCGGTATCTCTTTTTAAAACATGAGTCGTAATCTTTAAGATATTAACCGCTACCACTTCTGTATTCGAAGCATTGATTATTTAAGATAGGTACTTATAACAAACAAGATATTCGGAAAATGTATTATCATTATCATAGCCATTATACGTACCTATTTTCGTAAATGAGAATCGCTAATAATGTAATACCTATTGAGATTTATAAACTTTACGATACTTAATAACTTTATGTTTATGAGTACGAGTGACCAAATTAAATGCGATTATAACGGCGCTTAAAGCAGGTGGACAAATGGGCAGATGGGATACACAAATACCTATTAAATATTTAACATATCGATCATACAGTAATATTATGTTCATAGTTAGAGTTTTTAGTACACGAGCGATTTATATATGTACAAGGAAGTTTAGGATAAAGCGTGCTGTGTGATTGAACAATCTTACATTTATTTATAGAACATAACTCGACAATATTACTGTCATTACCTTAAATACAATTTTAACTCAAGGAGTAATATTAATCAATATAATTTAAATTATTACCGAGCCAATAATACCGTAATAGATAATTATTCAAATTTAAATGCATTAAAGATTTCAAATCAAGATAAATGACAGTAGGTATTAATTTTCATACCCAATATCCTTTAATAACTCGTTGCTTCTAGCCTGATAATGTTGCCTATGTATAATATTCTATGAATGAAGGTTTCATAGCTATTGTCTGATACAGTGAAAATCTATATTTATTGCTAAAATGTAGTACACCTATTGTCTACAATTGTGAGCTGTCTAAAATAGTTAGAAAGTACTGGTCTCCAACCTACCTCGACTATGTTACTATCAGAACAAAACACAACCGCAAATATATAATTCTTCTAGCGTTGAGAGGGAAAATAAAAATACCATCATGGTCCAAAAAGGTTTCATAGACATTTCTAGATAAGTATTAATAAAAAATTAAATACTTTCAGATCGCCCGGTTTCACATGCAAAACCAAGGTCACGTAAACACCACATAACAATTATAAATATAAGAACGATGAAGATCGTTTATCTGCAAGACAAATTGCTTAATGGCTTTGAGAGCGCCTTAACCGGTAAGTAGGTAAATTCCAAGGTAGCAAGTGAGTGGGGAAATAGACATGTATGTGTTTTTGATATTATATCTGTCTATAGTCAATAAGTAGGTAGTGATATGCGACAGTATTTAGCTATATAAATAAATGTTGAACATACAAATTATAAAGAAATTTCGTCAAATAAATCTCACATGAAAATTTAGTTTAAAGGCCTTATTTTATTTCTAAATTACATTATAAAGCAAATTTAATTAAAATAATCATACAAAATAAATTTCAACATATTTACTTTTACTATTCTCTTACACGGCTAATAATTTACGAATGTTTTCCGATTACCACGAAACGTTTAAAAAAAGCAATAATTTAAAAAATCATCCGACAAATGATGCCATAAATTATAGTTAATAATACGCACGCCCAGCATCATGTGCGGAAAGCTAATTGAATATTAATTTTTAAATAAATCTGGTTGAACAAGTTTACAGAGGTCACTTGTTTAGGGTTCTTTAGTATTAAGCTTATATAGCCGGGTTTTATATAACCCAGGGCAAGATGTATATACATTTTTATTTATCGTCATATTGCAGCTACAAGTAGGTACAGATTATAATAATTGATATTCATGTCTATTAATTAATATTCTATTATATATTTGCCTTTCGTAATTTTAAATTTCGAATGCATTTTAAGAAATATAAACAACAAACTTTTTCACGCACGCAATAACATGTTAAACTTCTAGAAGTTTGAGGATACGTAGGCTTCGACAAAGATAAGAGCAATAAATAATACGAAGACAATCAAAACTTATGTTTTTAAACAATTGAATCATGAACCTGCTTATTTTGTCTCCTAATGTAGCCTCACCTCGGCGGCGTTACAAACACCTTCTGTTCTTGTAATTTATTACTTATATCTCGAGCAGACGCGGTCACCGAACATAAACAGACAAATCGGCCGATTACAAGACATTACCTGCTCGTGGTGGTCCCAAATGCACTCATTATTACTTTCTTTGAAAAAAGTAAAAGTATAATAGCGAAACTTAGTAGATTAATTGGTCTAAGGAAAGTGTACAATAGATGTCACATCACAATGCGACCTTGGACATTGTGAGAGGAATTTTGCAACATTTGGCGACGTTTGCAAAGTTTGATTTAGTGGCCCTTCTTTGTTGATTTTCGTTATTGTTTTAAATGCCACTTGCGGTGAATTTGTAGCAGAACCAATTGTATGCATTATGCGTAAGACATTATTATTAATAACGGGGTATAAAGACCTCGACTGAGAATGTATGTAACGTAATAGCTTGGGAATGGGAGATGATATCATGGCATACCTACTACATGTACCGAAAGTGAGATACGCCTTTACTATGAAACTGTTTCAAGCTTATGATAAAGATTGTGTACTACAATTTGACATCACACTAATCAAGGGCATTCCTTAACAAAACAAGACGACCAAAAAGTTATAAAATAATATTCCATAAATAATATTATTGCTAGTTATTTTAGGTCCTTATTATAAATTATCCATGTCCTTCCTCACACATTTCAATAATCACCAATATGTGATTCAATTTATTTATAATCTGTAGCTTGTTTTATTGCAGAAACATTTCCACGCGTGAAGAGTTGCGCGAGTGTTCTGTCACTGGACAAGCTTGCTCCCAAATACGCGTAGGATTAAATAAATCCCTTCGTTAAGATGAAAAGCCGTCATAGAGTATATTTGATGCGGAATAATGCGTCTATAATCGCTGCTACTTTAGTCACAATCAAATGATTGCTCTATTAAATGTTTGGTTTCTATAGACATAATAAATTCAATAATTTTCATATTAGGTTTTTACATCTTTAATATTTAATAATACAACAATTTTTCACGGTCACCGTGACCACGCACGCTCTAAAGCACGGGAAACGTCGGTTAAATTTAAAATTATGAAAAATAATTGTTAATACATAACTTCAATCCGGTAAAAAATTGTTTTATTATTAAATGTGTAAAAGTTATGTCAATAAAAGACAATACTATCTTTAATATTGTTCGTAAAATGGGACAATTTTTTTTTTATGGAGATTGTTTTTAATAAATAATAGTATTATTGTTTCCGTGTTAAAATATTTTCATTTACCTATTTACAATAACAAGCTAATAAATTTTAAAATTAAAACTGCTGTCCGATGGCGACGTGCAATTCGCATAATAATTAATTATTGTAAGAAAATATAATTTTGTTGCTGTGAATAAAGTTCTAACAACATTAGCTGATTTAAGAGTAAGTGATACTCAAATATCTCTAGG